ATACAGTGTAAGGTCATTCATGGAGGACAGCTGACAGATGCATTCCAAGTAAGGACCGGGGTCAGACAAGGCTGTTTACTCTCTCCTTTCCTCTTTCTTCTGGTGGTCGAATGGATTATGAAGACCTCAACATCTGAAGGAAAACACGGAATACAATGGACAGCTCAGAATCAATTAGACGATTTGGACTTCGCAGATGACTTAGCCCTCCTATCGCATGCACACGAACAAATGCAGATAAAGACAGCCAGTGTAGCAGCAGTCTCTGTCTGCATCAGTAGGCCTCAGCATACACAAAGGGAAAACCAAGGTCCTCAAATTCAAAGCGGAGAACAGCAATCCAATCACTCTTGATTGCGAAACTCTGGAAGATGTAGAGTCCTTCACATACCTAGGAAGCATCATCGATGAACAAGGAGGCTCAGATGCAGACGTAAAGGCGAGGATTGGCAAAGCAAGGGCCGCATTCTTACAGTTGAAGAACATATGGAACTCAAAACAACTTTCAACCAATATCAAAGTGAGAATTTTCAATACGAACGTCAAGGCAGTTCTACTGTATGGAGCTGAAACTTGGAGAACTACAACAACTACCATCAAGAAGGTACAAGTATTTATAAATAGCTGTCTATGCAAGATACTCAACATCCATTGACCGGATACCATCAGCAATAGCCTTTTGTGGGAGAGAACAAACCAACTTCCAGCTGAAGAAGAAATTAGGAAAAGACGATAGAACTGGATAGGACATGCATTACGAAAATCATCAAACTGCATCACGAGGCAAGTCCTAACTTGGAATCCTGAAGGGAAGCGAAAAAGAGGAATGCCAAAGAACACATTGCGTCGAGAAATGGAAGCAGGTATGGAAAGGATGAATAGGAACTGGCAGAAGCTTTAAAGGATTTCCCAGGACAGGGTTGAATGGAGAATGCTGGTGAGCGGCTTATGCTCCTTCACGAGGAGTAACAGGCGTAAGTAAGTAAGCATGCACGCTGATTGGCTAATTCTTATCTAATCAGTGCTAGTCGATACTTGGAGAAGAGTCTAGAAATCTCATGTAAAAACTATAAATATACTAACGTTTTTCCTATTGTGCTTCTTGCCTCCATCTAACCTTGTTATTTGGAATGTAATCTCTTTCCTGTGCAACCGTATTCTGATTTCGGGACTTGTCGAGTGAATTGGTGTCCAAGATTACTAAGCAATAGGAATAGCTGCGTTGTGTTAAGCGAGGGCAGGACGAAACGTTTGTTATAGATCCCACAGCTAATCAATATCTAACTTTACTAAATTATTTATTTATTTGTTGCTATTCCAGTTTCTGTCTGTTTCCTTTCCTCTTCTCGTTAACGTTAAGCTTTCCACTACTAATCCCTGCTATATGCTACTTATATATGTCCTCACAAGTAGTGCACACCGCAATAGTAGTTATATTGATATTTAATAATTTAGTAGATAACGTGTTAGTGTTTGAAGTAAAAGGTACTGGGTTCGAGTCCCAGAGTGAATATGAACATGGACATGAGTACATTTAGTCAATAACTCCTAAATAGAAAGAAACTTATGTTCTGGATTCCGTTGCTAGTAACAATCTATTTATTTATTCGTGTACTTGCAAAGTAAATGAAATTTTAAAGTCAAAGTTTACTAGAACTCATTGATTTATGCTTAACAACATATTTTCAATTCAACAACAGAATTCACGAACAAACAAAACGGACATCCATGAGATCACCAATATCAGGATTTATTGCAGAAGCAGTGATGCAGAGACTAGAAGCCTTGATCTTACCAGTGATCAAGCCAAAAATTTGAATTCGTTATGTGGACGACATATTAGTCATCATCAAAAAGGACGAGCTGGAAATCATTGTACGTAATCATGTAATCATTCGCAAAATAAGCAGTTATCAAATCAAGATATAACTTGTGGCGGTTTAGATTACTAATTTGTTGGTTGTTTGACCGAATACCGATCAATCTTAGTAGGGATTTGTAAGCATGTCGTACGGGTCACCTTGATATAGCCATTATGATACTGTGGTGTGTACTACTTATATCGACATAAGTAATAGATGATGTTAGTCATGAACAAAATGTTTGGCAGCAGAGAGACAAGAGGATCGAACAGTTAAGAATGGAAACAGAATGCAATTTGTATGAAAATGTAAGGACAATGAAGTCTGAGTCATTACGAGACAAGTGATGGATATTTTGCAAATTACGTATTTACTATTTGATTGTTAGATTTTAAGAAGTGCTGTAATTTTGTGTTGTTGTTCCCACTCGTGTTCTGTTCACTACAATACAAGTTTATATGAACCAGATAAAAAGTGACCAGTAGTTCAGTTCAGAACTCGTGTTTGATACTATCTGGGACTCGTCAGGTGGGTGCACTTTCGTCTGAATTAATGTTCGCTCTGAGTTTCGAACTAATTACCTGTGCTTCAAACGTCAATGAGTTATCCACTTAGCCATTGAGTCAAAACAACTATCAACTTTTGAAATGGGTAAGAATTCTGATTGAATTTGTAATGGTTTGGATTATCCTGTTGTTCTTGATATTTTGACTGATTTTTAATACGTGTTAGCTGGCACCAACTCTGACAAGCAAGTGATCCAGCTGACGTGTACTAGATCGAACGAAGTAGACATTATGGACTCCACTATTAACCACACTATCTATTCCATATAAACATGGTCAAATTTAGCTCCCTTTTGCCTTTTTATGCAAAAAAAAATGATTTAAAAAAAACAACACCTATGATCTATCGTCCAACAACAGAATGTCCTAACTTTTTTTATATACCATGTGCAACTATACAATATAAACCATAATGATAAAGAGGATAAAACAGTGAATAACGCCCTAACAGTAATAATAACAATAGCTATTATTATTATTATCATTATTATTGATGTTTACTATGGAGTCGTTTTTGTTGAATGTATACAAAACAATGACATGATAAGTAATCTAAACGAGGTCAATTTATGGTTGTAATAATAACAATAAAATACTAAAACTAATATTAGTTCTATTTTGGTCGTTTTTATTTATTTCTATTAAATAAACTCAATTATTTAACAAATATGATCAAACAGAAAATGTTGGTGATCATTAAAGGATAGGAGTTTGTGGGAATTGTCGAACTCTTGTAGTTAGCATCATGGTTTTATCGTATTTAGATAATTGTCAAAAACTCAGAAGCACCAGATGGATGTTCTATCGTAGAGTGAGACACCGTAGTGATAGTGCTTAACCACAACCCATTCACAAGGGATAGAATCTAGAACTTTTATTTCTCATAAAGGATTTTCAAACTTTCAGATCTCTGGGTCGTTATCTAATGGTTAGGTTGTCCAGTACTTTCTGGTTTTTAACGGTTGTATAAGTAAGAACTGTCTATGATCTTCATTATGAAAATAGTATTGATATCGTGAGCAAGCACTTGATTGTATATTTATTTATTTTAACACATAGATATTGGTACAAGGAGGCACCAAATAGATATGCGCCATACAAATCTCATTTGATATGTGTGAGGGCTGTGATACTACCAGGGTGCCGAAACCGAAGCAGGTAGTTTCCATAGGGGACCATACCCGGAGACTTCGACCTGAAGATCTGATCCACAAGGCAGTGGAGCATCGTGAGGCGATGCAGTCCAATGGTAGCCGGTGACCAACAACTGGTTCATACACCACTTTTTCCTTCAGGATAATGGAGTTCAGGTGCACCATTCGTTTTAAATCAGGGTTCTCCAACTCCCCTAGGTGGACTCTCCATGTCCATCAACCCAGTTAAAGCGCCAGACATTCGCTTTTCATCCTCTCGATTTCGCAAACAACACCCGTAGTGCGAGAACTCAGTGAGTAGGACTTCCCTGGCAGAGGCTGTATACACGTGGTCATGTGAGAGCATTTCGAGAGGGAGAGCGGATTCTTCCCATTCTCGGCCGTGCCAAGGCATTTGGGAGCACACTTAATTGAGTGGATTGTGACTGACCTACAGTTTTTCCAATCACTTATGATGTGTGGTCATATCTTAACAAGGAGTAATTATATAACTTTTTAAGTTTGTTATTACTGTAAATGGGTAGATAGGTCGAGTTTTGTTCTCTGAGTTAAGTAGCTTAATCACGGATGACATTGAATGCTTCACAGTCAACTCATCCAGTTGAGAGAAAAAATTTATACCATCTATTCCCCTATCTCAACTGTATGACTTTCTTAATACTTTCACCATAAAGCTTTACTAACGTCTTATGCTGAAAATTAAATGAATTCCTGTAAATGACTGACAGTGAGCAGTAAGCAAATCTGTCGGACGACGATAATATATCCAAGTATAAAATGACAATAAACAAATTCTAAGAAAACATTTCCTGGTGTAGTTCATAAGCTCAAACATAATTGAATGGTATATTATTACAATATCCCGATCCTAAAGACCATTATAAACGAATAAGAAGAAATTTTAATCTCTGATTATCTGAACCCTCAGTATACACTCTAAATGCAATGGAGATCAAACGAAACTTATCTTAGACATTTCAGACATCCATTTAAGCCTATAAAATGACGAAATTGGATGTATGATAATACAAACAATATTTTAAAACTTCGATCTCTAAAATTATACATTGATATTTATGAACTGGTGACAATGAATAGAAGTTGATGTAAATCATATCAAACAACTATTCCAAGTCCAACCTAGTACATTGCAATGTTTTGAAAATGTTGCTGTAGCATAACAAACATCTGTCATTGTAGGCGATTAAAAATGTAGACCACATATTCAACTCATCATCACCTCAGAGATAAATATAGAAGATTTAAAAATCTAGAAATGCTGGTACCACCATTCGCTAAAGATATTTACACTGATAGGCATTTAATATGAAAAATTATAGATTGATAAGTACACTGATTAAATGAATAAATCTAAAACCTTAAGTATTTGGATAAATTAAAATAGTGCCTTGACTAACTTTTTTATATTTGGCTTAACACTAGTTTTGATAAATCCATATTGAAATTCCAAGAGTTCATAAGATTCTGGTTGGTTAGCGACTTTCATAGGATCTTCGCCACCAATTGCACCAACGACTTTAGATGGATCAATAAAAACATTTTTAAATACAACAACATTAACACCAAAATCATAAAGTTCTGTGCCTGCTCCTTCTATAGTAATTAGATCAAGATGATTTTTATTTCGATTTGTGACATAAATACTGAATAACATGAAACAAGTAAGTATCAGGATAACAATAAATTTAGAAAGAATTCGAAGGCGAAAATTAAAAAATCGTCTTCCTCGGAAGTGCATGATAAAGTTTGTCTTCTTTATTTACCTGGCCAACTTTCATTAAAACTACAAATAGAAAATGCGAAACGTTTTATTACTTCACAAATGATAACTGAAGAGTTAATATTTGCGTTAAATTCATTTTTTGAGTAAATTTACAGTATTTGCAAAATGAAAGCACGCCGCTTACTTTGTTTTTTATTACAAAATTTGAAATAATTAATGGCAATTAAGTCATCCTACCTTGAGCGAGAAGAATACATTAAGCGCTTTTAGCCCTTTATCTTTCCCAAATTCAGTCTTTAGTAATAAGGATAGGAGGTCTGTTGACCTATATTAATCCTTGAAGTTTGTAATACTGTGGAGGTTCAATCTCGTTTTGAATATATTAACAGAATGTGCTGATATTACGTATTCCGGTAGAAAATTCCAGTAATTCACTACTCGGTGCGAGAAACACGGCTCCAAACGTAAACGATTTGATCTCAGTTTTTGAACTTTCTTCGAATGTCCTCTCAAATGATCAGTCATAGACGGAAGTAAAAGATAAGACATGTTAATACCAAGGCCACCGCTCAGTATACGATAAGCCAATATTAGACCACCCCGTACTCTACGGTAAGATAACGGAAATAAGTTAAGGTGTCTCAGTCTGTCTTCATAAGACAGGCCAGATAGACCTTGTACCATCTTAGTACCTCGTCGTTGGACTCTTTCCAGTATCTCTGCTTTATACTTGAAACAAGGACTCGTTGCTTGAATCCCATATTCTAAATGTTATCGCACATAAATCGGGTATAATAATCTAAACATTTCATCATCCAAATACTGGAAAGACCTACGAATAGACCATAATACCCTATAGTCTTTCGCAGCAGCAGCCTTACAGTCACTAGTGGTTTTGAGATCACTGCTTAATATGACTCCTAAATCTTTATAGTTTCTTACTTTGAGTAGCACGAATCCAAATATTGTATGATGATACGATTCATCATAGTTATTTAATTGCATTACTACACTCTTATTAGGATTTACTTCTAGTGACCACCTGTCCAACCATGCCACTAATGAGCTAAGGTCATCCTGTAATAATATCTTATCCGATATACTGTGTATGAGTCTCCAAATTTTTATGTCATCAGCGAAGAGTAGAACGTATGATTTCTTTATAGTTGGTAATTCATTTACATAAAGTAAAAAGAGAAGGGGACAGAGAATTGTACCTTGGGGAACTCCACTTTTTGCAGGTTCCCACGAGAAGAGAGCCCCATTTACCCTTACCCTTCGTCTCTTATCATGAAGAAAGTTACTTATCCAATCTACGACTGTATAACGGATTCCAAAACGTTCCAGTTTAAATTTAAGACCGAAATGGGAGAATATCGAAGGCCTTACTTAGATCTATGAAGATCACATCCACAGGAATATTCCGATCTTTTGCAGCAGCCCAATCTTCTCTTGCAATGAGATTTGTCAAACATGATAGGCCTCTCCAAAAACCATGTTGTTCCCTGGAGAAAAGATTATGCTCTTCAACATAGTTTATAACAGACATCCGAATGATTTTTTCCATCAGTTTTACAACTGCACTAGTTAAGCTAACGGGTCTATAGTTACTAACTAAATACCTACTCCCAGCCTTATACACTGGACTTATTATTGCGTCTTTCCAATCTTTGGGCAGTCTGGACTGCCTTAGAGACATGTGAACTTGTTAAATCAACGCTTACGTTTTCTTTGAAATGGATATTGCACCTAGATGTTATGAACAAACCTCCGGGATAAACACAACTACATCGATAAAAACATAGATAGTGGTGAGTTTGATTTCGGGAACTTTCAAACAGTAAGAGCGGACAAAAATAGCAGAGCTTAAGAGTAGGTGGGTGACGCTACTAACCTTATATTTCAGGCAAATAAATTCTACTGATAGTTTCTATCGTGAAAGTGGAACATGTGGGATAAAATATCACACTATTTAGTATGCCTAAAATAGGTGCTTAATCATTAACTTAACTTTCCCAACTCACCTAAGGTATCCTCTTGAGATGATGAATTAACGTTGTTTTTGATATTACTCAATTAAAATGTTGCCTGGAAATTCAGTTTGGTTTGCTTCCTGATTAATATCACCTTAGGATTCGTTAAAAGTCAGGAAAACATGAAAAGGTTTTTAGACCTTATAAGGATTCCGATGTAGGGCTGGACAAAAACCAACCATCCACCAAATCCCACTTCTCAAAGTTTCGTAGTAATTATGGAGCCTTTTAATCACTTAACCGAAACCTAATAGTATATCTTTCTATTCTTAATTACAGATAAATTGTGACATCGTCCAATATCGTTAGTTAGCAACTGCGCCCATGTCTAAGACAATTTGGACAGTTTTCACCACATAATGTCTATGTTCTCACTCAACTCTCAGTAGAATAGGATGAAAGGATCTGATTTCAAGAATTGAGAGGAACTTACGGCTTTATATATTACGTCGTATTCAGGCTTCAGGTTTGTGTATTGGGGATATAAGGTCTAAAGCCTGTGTTAGTCCTTTTCTAGTAAGTTTCTAAGTGTCTAGTATTCTCTTGAATGAGCCAGTTGAAGGGGCAGATAGCACTTCTTTGCGCAACAGGTTCCAAGAATCGATTACTCTGTATGAAAACATGTATGACACTGTAATATCACAGTAGTGTATTACCATAAACACACCCCTCACTATATTATTAATGACAAACAAAATTCTTAGTCCACTGACTTACGTAGGCATACAAAGTTAAGATAACAAATAAATTTGGAACCATTAGTTACATTTCTTTGATCCAGTAACTCGTGTATGAAAAGCTCAAAGATGATATGAAATAGTCGTAAATCAATCGATCATCTCAAATAAGAATGGAAGATGAACTGATAAATGACTGTGTCTCTTAAAAAAATTTAGAGTTTAGATCTTAGTGCTATGTACAATTTTGCGGCCGACTTGTAAACTACTGACAAATGTATGGTGGTAAATGAATACCTGAAATAGTTAGTCCTGTAAAACGTCGACATTGTTGATGACCTCATTAGTTTTACTGAACACGCCCTAGCTGAAGCCACTCGGTCATGCATCCACACCAAGTTTCAAGTGGGCACACCATGCTACGCATCCCTCGAAACTTCTAGCCAGCTTAGAGCAAACGCTTCCCCACATATAAATAACCTTCCAAATATATCTCCGGACTACTTCATTTCTGACTTCTGGTTTGACCGAGTCGACATTCTTTGATTACGGTGTTACGGGTAAAGCCGTTTTCAAAATCCCGAATATCTGTGGTATCTTTAAATAATTAACACACCTAATTTGTAAATTTTAGGGATAATGTTGTATATATGTATGTTGATAAGAAGAAATTAAGAGGCATTTTCTCTTCATGTGTGTCACGAATACGCATTATATTCAGTAAATCTGTAGCAGTAAATAAATCCCCAAAATAAATAGCTCTAAGTTTTCGACATTGGATGCTGACCATATGTTTTAGTGGACTCATCTAGCTGAAGGCGCTCGGTCAGGCATCCGCACCAGATCACGTGTGGTAACGCCGTGCTCAACATCAACCGCAATCGCTAGCCAGATTAGATCGGGGAATTCCGATATATTGGTCATCACCAAATATACTCTTCCGATCTCCTCGACTCTGTCTTTTGATTTCTCTGGGTGGGAACGAAATATATTAGGTGTTACTGGTAGAAGCGTTGTCAAACACTGAATACCTGTGACATCATCAAATCTATCAACACTAGTTGAGTTGATACCCGAGCTCCCAAGTTTGGGAAACTCTCAGGGTTTTTGTGTAATTTCCTCAAAATTTCCCCAAAATGGGTCAAATTTTTCCCAAAATTGAGAGCTCGGGTACATTTATAAAATTTGAAGTAATTTCGGTTTTAAGACCATTAAACGAAAGAAAATAAGATAAAATATTACTTGAGAATTAAATTAGCCAATCAAGTTAGCAATAATAGTGACTAAGATATATAGAGGCATAGTTAAATCATAAGTAATGAGGACGCTAACTTGTAATATAACTTAAATCTGTAACCTCGACAAGGTCGGTTTATTTAAAGTTCAATAAGCAATCTCAGTAACATTGAGAACAAACTACTATAAGTCACTGAATTCATTCACTCTAGATTCTTAGCACTACAACGCAGTCCCAAGCTTTTTATATCATTCAGAGTAAGTAGTTCAGTCGTTCAACTACATTAGTCCTGGTTTATATCTCAGTTATTGGATGCTGTAGTATTCTAAACAAACTAACCGTAAAGTATGCGTGCTTTCCTTGCTAGGTATTCACATGTAAGAATTGGGCTCATTTTATGAATTTTTCGATGTGTTCATATATCTAGTTTTATTCATAGAACAACTGGCTGTCTATTTACTCACTGGAAACAGTCAATTTTTATAAATATAATGAATCACCCTAATTGAGATCAGTTGACTGATATCAGATTTTCACCATGTATCAACATACCTCCGGTTACTAGATTATTGGTCCATAGTCGAAGGCATGAAACGTATTCTCATCAAATATTGTATAGCGTTGTAATAAGGTGATATGTTAATGGTTAGCTAAAAAATAAGATATGAGGTAAACGAGCATTAAACTGCAATTAAATACGGACAGTTAAGTAGTAAATCCGTTAAACAGTCGCTAAAATCATAATATCAGTATAATATTGCGCAGAATATTAAGTTTTTGACTGAAGTCTTGAGCCGATTTGTGTTAGACAACCATTAAAAACCAGGAAGCACTGGACGATCGTTTCGTTCTATTTTGTGACTCCTCAATCTCAACCAAGAAATTAATAATCTCCACAACTATATGCTAATAATCACCATGTGCTTACTGTAAGATCCATTTTGAATGCCTTGTGTGTTTGTGAAAACCCCTCCATGTATATACTTGCAGTCATATCTCCACAATCCTCTTAGTTGTACATTGCTGACTTTTTGACTACATTTGAATTGTTAGTATTTGTATTTATTA